TAAACAAGGTCACCTAAAAGGGGATTGTAAACAGGGTGTTTCTAGAAACAATATTTTTTTTTCTAAGCACAATCCGAACAGAACTCACCTCTCTTCTGGATTATGTAGAAGATGTGGCAATGGCAGGCATTGGACTAATCAAAATTAAGGAACTATTTTGTTGCTACTAATCTCATAATCTTTTGGTTTTATTTTTACTTTTTAACAGGTTAAGGTACAAATATTATCTCAAAATTTATAAGATTAATATATATATATATATATATTTAAACTTTTTGTCATGATATTAATGATCATATTGAGTACTAACTAATTCTAGGAAAAGGCTTCATCTAGCTTCCTGTACATGATTTCAGGTTTGAGTCTCTATCAGCTAACTAGGAATTCAGTTTTTGTACTCTGGATGGACATAACAAAGTATGGTCCTTTAACATTTTTTAGATCTGCTGCATGTGATATTTAAATGTTTAAGTTTTCTCCAGTGAACCAAGACTGTGCCTAACAGTGAGCTTTGAAGTCTCCAAAAGGAGGATGGGGCCCCACAACGATGATTCCACGAGGACTATGGTAACACCAAGTTGAAAAACACCACCTAAAGATCGGCTTTTGGCTACAAACTGCTCAGGACAATTTCAAGGAGGCTAGCTGAGTGATCCAGCCTCACAGACTACTCTAGCCAGTGCTTGAGATAAGCCCTGCACCTTCCCATTACACAGAGACTGGACAACAAATGATACAACTACCTCTCCCAGGACTTAACAATTAACCCAATTTTTTTCAGGGTCCTCAAAGATACCATTGCCCCAAAACAGCAGTAAGTAAATTTAAGAACACTATTCCCACATTCCCAAGAGGTAGGGTGGGTGGTTTTTGGTCATTCAGTGAGTTATGGATAATTGTCATTGTTTAGGGTGGTTGATTACAAGCTGTTATCAGTAACAGTTAAAAGTTTTGTTTTGTGTTTTTTAATGATAATGGGACAGTAGCATCAATCTACTTCAGAGAAGATGATGGGCACCAAAGAAACTTCACATGGAATTTACTTTCTTTGTGGCAAAAGTTAGCCATTGGGCAAGAAAGGAGGAAAGGGAAAGCCATTGTATGAAACTATCAAGATGAAACCTAAATTGCAGTGGATGTTAGAAATACCAGGACCATGGAGTATCTGACACAGGAGAGTTGCAGACACAGTTTGGAGCTAGCCAGGGGAGAAGACCTGGAAGTACAGGGCTGTCTAAGGCCACTGGGTGTTGACTGATTCTTGGTGAATAGACCAGCAAGGCCATTGGTTCTCTTATTCCAAGCCATGTGTGTGGTAGCCTTTGCAGCTGCTGTTTCTCAGCTCTGCTGGTGTTTCTGGTCATGAGATTTGAAGTCTCCTGCCCTTCTACCAGGACCAGGTCTCCTCTTCACATCCCTGCTACTTCAAGGTGATAGGAAAGTCTTTTCTATAAACAGTTACCTATGTTACTTCAGGGTCTCCTTTGGGACCCTCCATACACTGAGCCACACTACTGCATGCAGGCCATGATGGGTGTCTCTGTAAGCAGGACACCGGCTTGGATGTTCTTGAGATTTATCTTCTTCCCTGGCCTTGGGCAGCAGCTCCCAGAATCAAGCATCCCACCTCCTCACTTTGTTCTCTTTGTCACCCCTTCCTAAAAGACAGTGCCACATACCACATGTCACATATGGATTCTCTCTAAGCAAAACCCCTATGAGACAAGCTTACCGGGTTTGGCTATTATTGTAAAAAGGACGCTTGGACATTCTCAGTATGATTTGATTATTTCAGCCTGTTTTATTGCTGAGGATTTTGGAAGCCCATTTTGAAAACCAAATACCTGGTACCAAGTCCTTTCTCTATATAACCTTATGTCCCCAAAACTAATCTTCCCAAAGGAGATACTCTGACTGACTGGGTTTGCAAAATGAGGGTCAATGAGGGAATTTTATTGTTTAGGTAATCTCATGTTTTATCATTACATGGAAGTAAACGGGTGGATACCACTGGCACCTGGTGAATTGATTCCATGGATGTCCCTAAATATCTTATAATGCCCAGGGCATGACTTCATAAAAAGGAATTACCAGGTCCCAACTATCAACAGTGCCAAGGTTCAGAAGCCGGGCTGTGGCTGAGCAGTGGGAACATCCCAGATAAGCCTTTCCAAATCCCGTCATCCGTCAGCAGTCACACAATCGATGTCTGTGGCTCCCTGCTTCTCCACTCAGCTCCTGTGGTCCCCTCCCACCTCTTCTCCAGTGGACCAACCACTCCTCCGCCTGTCCTTCCTGCTTGCTCAGGGATCATTTTGAAAAAAAAAAAAAGAGGGAATGATGGGATAATAGATTTATAATTGTGAGTTACTGCTTTTAGACAAATATATTGGTATCAATTCTTGTATATTGAAACAAAGTTAAATTATATTGACTATTGTATGCATGCATGTTTCTATGTCTGTTTAAAACATTTTTATGTATTGACATATATTGTATTGATATATATTGTATATATTTACCATATTGCAATGTACATTTCTACCTCTGATTAAGATACTTATATAATGTTTGTGTATTGATATATATTTGCCATATTGCAATGTATATTTGTACAGTGTATTTGGAGGTCATTATCCTCATTTGTTACACAGTTGTTTATTGTCTTAGTCTTTAAGTTAGATAAATATTGAGAATTATATAGATAAATAGTCATCTAAGTTTGTCATTTATAATCAGACTAATCAGGTTCTTTAGATATATAGAGATTATACTCAGTATAGATAGATAATCTTCAACCTCTTCAAAGAGCTGTAGAAAATGGCCTTTAATCTAACTCAGAGTTTCGTGATAGTGAGACACAATTGCTCCTGGCAACACCGCTCTATTCCCGAGAGAATGTTGAGCACCAAAGACACTCCACCTGGAGCCTTTCTATTTGGCAGAACTGCCCTTTGGGCAAAGAAATGCCGATACCTCAACCACTGACAGAGATACAGAGCGTGCATCAATGGATAAAACAGGACTGTCATATCCTGCCAAGACAGGGTAAGATAGTTTTGAAAAGTTCCTTGCCTTTAATAATGGTATGTCAGTTATGTTAGACCTTAGCCAAAATTGGTTGACTCAACATTGCAAACGAGACTTTGGGTGATTGCCCAGGTAGTCAGTTGTCTCTGTTAATTGTTGCACATTTTGGATATATCTCGTTTGTTGAGTAGTGTTTATTCCCTTCTCAGATCTTTGACTGAGTTGAAGATTATATAATTGTAGTTACTCTTTACATTATTTGGACTCCTTGAGATAGAATGTTTAGCAAAGCTTTTGTTCTCAATATTGTTTGTTATATTTATTATTTGTTGTTATTGTATGTAGTTGTATTTGGTTTAGTTCTGTCTTATTTAGACAAAAAGGGGAGATGTAGGGATAAGTCACACCCCTTAGGGGGCGTGTTCGCCTCGGGCTAATGTCTGCCTATAAATTTGGCGAGAGTGCTCCCGAGCTGTCTCTTCTGCTTTCCTGGTCTCCGCAGGAACGGTGGTTCTGTAAGTCTATTTCTACATTAAAAATATATATATTTTTACAATCTGTCTACATTTGTTTAGGCCGCTACACCGCTGCGTGCCTGCCCTCCCGCTGGTGAGAAGCTGTAGCCGCTTGCTCGCTTGCTCGGGTGCGGACCCTAGAGCCGGCGCCCGGCACTGCTGGGACCCGCCAGAGTTTGCTGTGGGGCGGGGGGACGCCAGGGATATTTTTTAAGAACAAGACTGCCTATCCTGAAACTCACTTTGTAGATCAGGCTGGCCTCAAACTCAAACATTCCCCTGCCTCTGCCTCCCAAGTTTGGGATTAAAGGTGTGCACCACCACATCTAGCTTGGGTTTTGTTTTGCCTAGAAACCTTTCAAGCAATTTCTAAATGTTACATATCCTCTGCGCACACTTTAAAATCCTTAGAGATGCTTTTGGGCCGTGCAACAAAATGACAAACACAAAGAGAAGATCCTGATCTATGTTCTCTAGATCCTTCAGGAAACATGGAGTTATTCCTTTGGCCACAGATGTGTGAGAGGAGAGGAGTCACATTATAGACAGCAGGGGAATTCACGCTGCTCAAAAAGGAACGCCCGTAAGCGTCACCAGGGCAAACTTGGAGCAGTCTATAGTGTCCACTCAGCACGCTGACGGCGTTGTAAACAAGCACAAACAAAATTCTTGCCAGGAGAATTAATGTGCAGATGGAGCCTGTTAAGGCCTCCAAGAGCCGAGACAGCCTCCATAAACGGAAGGAGAATGATCTGAGAAAAGTGAAGCCAAGGAGAAGGCACCCGAGTTCAGCTGAAGCGCCGGCCTGCTTCTCACAGAGAGGTAGCCTTTGTGACAAGGGAAGAACCCCCGAGCAGCTGGAGCCGTCCTGCGAATTCACGGCTCAGTGCACAAAAACAACCCTTCAGATCTGCAGAACCACAGACTCTGGCGAAGGCAGACACCTGGAATTTCAGTACCGCCTCAGTTAGTAGAGGCAGGAGGAGGGTCGGAAGCTCAAGGTCATCCTCTGCTAGGAGTTAGACTCTGTCTCAAAGATGGACAGGTAGATGAACAGACAGACAGTGAATCGTTCATCACAAGCTTAGTAGCTGCAAAGATGGAGCTCCCAGCCCGGGCATATATCTCAGGTTAGTCAGCTCCAAGTCCTCCTATACAGCAGCAATCCATCACTGGTGTCTGCCGCTGCCTGCTTAGCACAACAAAAGATATGGATATGTCTGTGTGTGTATGTATATGTGTATGCATATAAATGCGGACACTCTAAAATAATCTCTTTCAGATTGCCCTGTGACTCCACATGTGTGCCACGGCACATGAATACAGATAGCAAACAAATAAAGTAATTTTAAAATTTAAAAAACACAGAACTCCTTAAAGGTAGTCCCCAAAGTTAGCAATACATATTAACTGTTATTCTGCTTAGAACATTTTTTTTTACGAATGACACTTTATTCAGTCATTTTCAAAATTAACATCCTTGCCCGTGAGCTTCTTATACACACCAGAAAACGTTTCCACCTTGTGCTCCACATTGTTCTGCTGTGCTTTGTCTAAATGAACCTTTATGAGCCGGCTGCCGTCCAGTTTCACACGGATCCTCTTGCCCACAATCTCCCTCAGGAAGACCAAGTCCTCAAGGATGGCATCGTGCACTGCGGTGAGCGTGCGGCTTCTGGGGCGCTTCTGCTTATTTTTCGTACGGCTTTTCCGAGTTGGCTTGGGCAGAATCCTCCTCTGAGCAATGAAGACTACGTGTTTCCCGCTGAACTTTTTCTCCAATTCACGAACCAGCCGGACTTGGATTTTTTGGAAGGATTTCAGCTGAGGAACTGGTACAAAAATTATGATGGCTTTCGGGCCACCGCCAACTTCAATTTCCTTGGCCGCAGTGATGTTGAGCTCCCGCAGCTGCGCCTTGAGATCCGAGTTCATCTCCAGCTCGAGCAGCGCCTGAGAGATGCCGGACTCGAACTCGTCCGGCTTCTCGCCATTGGGCTTGACGATCTTGGCGCTCGAGCTGAATAATGACTTGCCCTTACGGAGTGCCGGCTTGGAAAGAGCTGCTTAGAACATTTTAAGCAGATGCACCCAACATGGGAAAATCTTTCCTAAGACCCATGCACGTAAACTGGTTTGATATCACCACCCACTTTATACTTTGTTATCCATTTAACCATAGATTTTGTCCAGTGAATCAGTAGGAAACTTCTCTTCCTAACACTCTGCTGGCAAAGCCGTCTTCCTTATCAAGCGAGTCATCAGATCAGACTGTCTTCTTGTCAGTCTGCCTTCGTTTCCTGTCTGACGTGACATGTTGTCACACCTGTCTTGAGACAGCTGACAAGATAGATGGGTTAGGCGGAGCAGCGCTGTGTGCTTGTTCTAGTGTAGAGCCAGGCTGTTCTGCCTGTTGTGTGATGTTTTACACTTTGGACTCTTTTGGGGAGCCCACTGCCCAGCTCCCAAGTAAATGACACACAGAGACGTATTCTTAGTAATGAATGCCCGGCTTTAGCATGGCTTGTTTCTTGCCAGCTTTTCTTATCTTAAATTATCCCAAGTTCCTTTTGCCTCTGGGCTTTTATCTTTCTTTCTTCTGTATGTCTTACTTTCCTTCTTACTCCGTGGCTGGCTGGGTGACTGGGTGACTGACCCCTGATATTCTCCTGTCCTTGTTCTCTTGCTCCTCATTCTCCCTTCTCTCAGGGTTCTCCTCCTATTTATCCTCTCTTCCTGCCAGCCCCACCTATCCTTGCTCCTGCATCGTTATTGGCCAGTCATCTTTTTTTTTTTTTTTTTTTTTTTGGTTTTTCGAGTCAGGGTTTCTCTGTGGTTTTGGAGCCTGTCCTGGAACTAGCTCTTGTAGACCAGGCTGGTCTCGAACTCACAGAGATCCGCCTGCCTCTGCCTCCCGAGTGCTGGGATTAAAGGCGTGCGCCACCACCGCCCGGCTGCCAGTCATCTTTTTATTAAGACTCCCAGGTGTTTTAGACAGACACAGTAACACAGCTTCACAGAGTTAAACAAATACAGCATAAACCAAAGTTACACACCTGAAAATAATATTCCCCCAAATTCACTCTTTCCTTGCCTCTTGTCATCCTTTCTGCTTTGGCCACCAAGGCACTAGTGACAGTCATCAGATTCCAGAGCCAAGACACAGAAGAGGTGAAGACACGTAATGGAAATTATAGACACTCTTGCCATTTGCACTGAAAATAGCACAACCGCCGGGTGGTGGTGGTGCACACCTTTAATTCCAGCACTTGAGAGGCAGAGGCCAGCAGGATCTCTGTGAGTTCAAGGCCAGCCTGGTCTACAAGAGCTAGTTCCAGGACAGGCTCCAAAGCTACAGAGAGACCCTATAAGTGCAGTGGGATGGGGAGGAGGAACACAACCACCAGGCCGCAGTGGTACACACCTTTAATCCCAGCACTTGGGAGGCAAAGGCAGGCAGATCTCTGTGATTTCAAGACCAGTCTGGTCTATAAAGTGAGTTCCAGGACAGCCAGGACTGTTTCACAGAGAAACCCTGTCTCAAGAAACAAAATAAAAACCTACAAAAAACAAAACAAATAAAAAGAATAATACAACCTTGGTAAAAATTCCCTGTTTTAAAGCTGAATTTCACACTTAGCAGAGACATCAACTTGCCAAGAAAGACACAACCCACCCCACCCCACTCCCTAAGCCTATAGAGGCTGTCCAAACGCTGTGTTCCATTGCTAACAATGGGCAATTCCTCAGCCCAGGTAAGCTTTAGGGAAATGGAGTTTAGTCAAGGGCTGTATCTAGTGATGACTTTCTTAATGTCAGAATTCCAAGGTGGTACATGATCTGCAAAAAGACAGGGGAATCCAGGGTGTGCTGGTGTGCACATGTGTGTTCAGATAACTGTGTATGTGACTGTGTGCGTGTGTGGTATGTGAGTCTGTGTGTGTGCATGCACACCTGTGTGCTATGTGTGTGATAGGTGTGCATGCCTGTGTATGTGCACACCTATGTGGTAAGTATGTGTGTGTGGAGTATGTGTGCAGCCCTGTGTGTGGTCGCATATGTGGTGTGTGTGCACATCTGTGTGGTATGTGTGTACATGTAGTACCTGCATGTGTGAACACACCTGTGTTGTGAGTGTGTATGTGGTGCCTGTGTGTGTGTGTGGTGTGTGTCTTTCTCTCTGTGTGTGCACACCTGTGTTGTGTTTGCATTGAGTATGTGTTGTGTCTATCTTTCTCTGTGTATACCTGTATGATGAATGTGTGTGTGTCTCTTTCTCTGTGCACACCTGTGTTGTGAATGTGTGTATTATGTGTCTGTCTCTCTGTCTCTGTGTACACCTGTGTGGCGTGTGTGAATGATGTGCATGTCTGTAGCACGTATGTCTTTGTGTGTATGTTTATGTGTGTTGTATGTGTGATGTCTGTATATGTGCCTGCACATGTGTGTGTGTGTGTATTCGTGTGTGTGTGTGTTCTAGGCTGTCTTTGTTCTAAAATCGCTCCAGGACTCCATCAAGAGGCCCCGCCCTGACAAGCACATCTGAACTGCCTTCCAAAGGTCCCACCTCTAAATGATACAATTCAACGGTTAATCCTCTCCACACCTCACAGAGGAGATTAATTTTCAACGCAGGAATCCTTTGGGAACAATTTCCAAACCACAGCACACAACAATCTCTCCGATTGTACTTTTGGTGCCCCGAGTGGGATCTGCATGCCCGGAGCAACACTGTCCTAGGATCAAGCATATCTGAGGGCTTTGTGTTTCTATAGCAAAGCCCAGAGGTAAAAAAAGCAGAGAACGGGGAAGTAGATACACGTTCGAAAAGAGAGCCGGTTAGCTGAGACTCTGAAATGGATGCCCTTGACTCTCCCTTCCTGTGAGTCCCTTTAGAGGGTCAGTGCTCCTCTAGGGATTCGGTACCCCTCAGAACAAAGCTGATATCCTCCATTGATGCATTTCTTCAACATATTATTTTCTATTATTTCTGTTATTTTTTATATTATCAATTTTACTTATATTTTCTGTTTCCAACCCCACCATCCGTCTCTTTGAAACACAAGAGGTTCAGAAATGGGAACCTGAAAATCTGGCCTCCGGCACGTCCTGGGAGCCCAGTACACTGCTGCATATACTTCTTATTTATGTAGCACATGCTGACCTTATCCTAGAAATGACTAGATGACCACACTCCCTGCACCGGGAAGGAAAACAGAAAAATCACTTGAATAACATGTCCCAGAAGCCCCCTGGTGCTTTGTGACCATCTCCAGAAAGTACACTGGGGCCGTGCAGAGCAAGAAGAGGCCTGGCTCACTTTAGGGCCTTCAGGCAGCTGGGTAGCAAGGACCCTGCTCACACAAAGCCCTTTTCTCCCAGCTTTATTAACTTCTAAGCCTTTTCCTGTTTGTCTGTCATGGCCAAACCCACCTCTTGGCAGACAGTGAGTCTGAGTATTTGAATTAGATTCCTGAGCAGTGATTAAAACAGACTCCGGCCCTTAACAAAGAGGTTCTAATACAGCACCAGCAGGGTCCGGGCTATACTGTAGGGCCTTCACTCCAGCCTGTGGGCCTATGACCTGATCTCTGGGCAAGACGTTGGGTGCACCAGGGAGAACAGACCCTCCAGGGTGGGATGCAGTCTGTGATACTGGGACTCAGCTGTCCTTGTGACAACCAGCTGCTGGCAGAAGCAAGCCTTCAGTACGCAGTTGCTCCTTCAAGGAGGACAGCCATCCTTGGGGACACAGAGCTGTTGCCACGCTCATTCTCACAAGTCCACTTTCCACCCAGAGAAACAAAGAGGGCACAGGGCTAGGGCTGATGTCCACAAAGCTTCCACCTTTCCAGGAAGCCATGAAGGAAATGGTAGCCCCGGCTGCTGTCCTGCGTGTCCCACTTGCCTTCCTAACCTCACAAACACACATGTGTTTACATGTAAACGCCTGAGTCTTCACAGCAAAGACCCGGGAACACACTGACAGGAGTCTTCCATTTTTTGAGTTCTGCATCGTGACAAACGCCTACCTCCCCAGGGCTTGTCTGTCCTTTCAAACTGGGCTTTGGCTTTGCCTGGCTGTAAACAGCATCATCCCAGCCCAGGAAGGCTGAGGCAAGTAAACCCAAAGTTCCAGACTAAGATGAGATTTTGTCTCAAAGCAAAAACCACAAACTCAATATTCACCATAACAAAGTAAACCCAGCCAGACTCCGATTCCAAACTAGCACAGCGACACTTTTTGTCCAAATCATCAGAGACCTTTGAATTCAATGGGGATTCAGACAAGTTCTCCTTTCAGTTGGGGGAAGGTAGTGTGTAAACCAAGAGTTGCTATGACAACAACCTTCAACAGCTGAGGGACTCTTTGCAATTTGGGGGGCCAGTGAGAAGTCAGCCCAGGGCCTAGAGTCTCTAAGATGGGGGTCACTCCCCTTTCTTCAAAGGCTCTGTTCATCTCGCTGACCAGAGCAGCCTGTGTGAAGCCCGTGCAATGTGTCCCGCCTCGAGGATCAAGGGCTTCCTCAGAGCACAGACAGCACAGAGGCCTGTTGATCTGGATTTGAATAATTTCCTCATCATTCCAAGAAGATAGCAAACTCTTTAAATAGATCATAGAAAGACTCCACACAATATTTCTTGTCTTATGACAGCCACGGGGACCCACCTCAATCACCAAAGACTGTTCTCGAAGACTCTGTCACAGGGCGGGAGAAGTAACGGAGTTGGTAGAGGGCTTGTCTAGCAAGCAGGAGGCCCTGCATTTAGTCCCCAGTTCCAGATAAAATGGGGTGTGGTATGGAGTGCTAGTGTTTCCAGAACATGGAAGATGAATAAGGGGCGATCATGAATTCAAGGTTAACCTTGTCCAAATTTGTGAGTTCAAGACTACCCTGGATTACCTGGAACACTGCCTTTCCAAAAGAAAACACACCCTCAAAGCAAATGACTCCTGTGTGTGGATAAAATGATCAACCATGCCTTCCCCACCCATGGGCCCTGCCCCTCGGGAACTGTAAGCCCTTTTCTCTAAACTGCTTCAGGCTATGGTATTTTATCGCAGCCACAGCAGTTAATACAGGCTGTTGGGATGGGCTGATGAATCAGAGGTTTTAGGGTTCTAACTTTTCCTTCTCGAGCAGCTGCAGGAACACCAACCTTCACAAGAATCCATCTTACTCTAGAAAGAAAAGCAAGTCTCATGTCTAAAACAAAAACTTGCTTTTCTTTCTATAGCCTAGACTGGCCTTGAACTTGCTACATAGCCAATGATGACCTTGAACTTCTGATTCTCCTGCCTTCACCTCCCAAACGCTGGCTGGATTTACCGGTGTACACTGTAAACCAGCTTCTTAGGTGCTGGGAATCCAATCTGGGGCTTTGTGTTTTCTAGACAGGCACTCTGCCAACCGAGCTGCAGTCTCAGGAACAAGGTCAAGTTGTTATCCCTGGCATCTTACCCAGCTAACGTTTTACCTAACATCTTACCTAGCATTCCTGGGATGGAAACAAAGGCACCGCGAGTAGGACTGTGTAGTTTAATGACTGAGCACTACCATACCACAGCTGGAAAAACAAAAAAGGAACTTTAGTCCAGGGTGCCAATGGGAAGGGCACACTGTTAGGGGCAGAGGTCCACCCAAGTAGGGTGTTCTAAATTCTAAAGCCTTGACTAAAGGCTCAGAGGTGGCACTCAATAGGTGATGTGTAAGAAAGATACCAGGGCACTCCTGTGCCCCGCAGCCAGGAGCCTCATCTACATCTAGTCACCAGGAAACATCCCAGACTCCTGCAGAGGGGCGTCCTACAAACATAAGCTAAGGCCTGCCTGTCAGAGCATCCCACAAACACTTAGTCTGCCGTCTTCATCAAGTGCCAAGTTCATGAAAGACAAGGAAAGACTCAGTGTTCTGGAGTCTTCGGAAGACAGGACAGCAGTTATGGACCAGGGGCAAAACAAAAGCATTTTTTAAGTTGTTTAGAGATGGGGTCTTGTTACCCTGAGCAGGCTGATCTCAAATTCTTTGGCTCTAGTGGTCTTCCTACCTCAGCCTCGTGATCCAGCTCGGACTTCGGGTGACCACCACCGTGCCCGGCATGCTGAGGCTCGAACCCAGGATTTTCTCCATGCCAGACAAGTCCTCACTCCCCAATCAAGAGCAGTGTTTTAATATTAAATTTCTTAATTTGATAATCCTGCTGTGGCTATGAAGGAGGTCTCTGATTTTAGGAAATTTGCACTCAAGAATTGAGGACTAGAGGGTGTAATGTCTCTCTGACTCTCCCTGTGACTCAGAAATATACCAGTCCCGTCTACACGTCAGAGCAGACTGCTGAGTCACGAGCGTGTAATAAGGCAGAACAGAAGCAGGTTGCTTAATACAGAGGAAGGGTATATTGGAGTTCTGGATTATCCCTTCAAACTCTTCTTTTTTTTTTGTGGGGATTCTTTTGGTTTATTTGTAGGGGTTGATTTTTAGAGACAGGGTTTCTTTGTTATGCTCAGATCCATGAAGTCCCCCCCCCCCCATCAACAAAGAGATTGAGTCCTATATGTAAAAGCAAAGAGCCTCTATTTTATACAAGTTTGCAAACTCACTCTCCCCACAAGTCCAGCGTATTGGAATAATCAAAGAGCCCCGAGGTCAGTTAGAGTTGGGTTTTTATAGTAGTAAAGGTGGGGGTGAGGGATTTCTAAGGTTCAGGATGCCTGATTGGCTGACATTTGTCTAGGGGTGTCCTGGTGAACATGTGCAGGTGATCCTATCTACAATGGTTGGAATGTTAGGCATTTCCTTTAGATGGTGCTTGGGTAATCTAAATTTATGGTCCTTCCCGCAACCAGGTACTGCTTCAGGGTAAACTACTGAGACTCAGGCCTCCATTAAACTTATCAATGTCTGAGTCCTACTCTGGCAGGTGATAATGATTGGAAGTAAAGAACTTCCTTTGGTGGTCTGTTTCTATTTAGCTTATCATGGCTGACTCCTACACCTGGCTGTTCTAGAACTCACTATATAGACCAGGCTGGCCTCAGATTCAGAGATCCTCCTGCCTCTGCCTTCCTAATGGTGACTAAAGGCATGAGCCACCATGACTAGGCTCAAACTCCCTCTCCCCCCACTTCCTTCCTCTCCTCTTTGAGACAGGGCTTCCTCCAATTTACTATGTAGCTGAGAATGACCTCGAGCTTCTGATCCTCCTGCCTCCCTCCACTTTACAAACACTAGGATCACACTGCAGGTATGAGGGTACCACACACACCCAGTTTATGTAGCAATGGTGTTAAAAACCAGGGCTTTGTATAAGTTAAGCAAGCACCTCTCCCTTCAGGCGACAACTTCCCCTTCCCTTTCCCTCTCCTCTCCTTTTCTCCCCTTCCTTCTCCTTCCCCTCTCCTCTCTTCCCCTCCCCTCTCCTCTCCTATCTCTTCTCTGCTCTCCTCTCCTCTTCATTTTAGTGCTGAGTACTGAATCCAGGCTTTTACATATCCTAGGCAAGCCAAAACTTTGAAATTATGAAAGAAAATAAAAGCTGAGAGGCTGAACATGTAGCTCACCGGAAGAGCCCCAAGTTCAGTCCCTGACACCAAATAAATGAATGAATTAGTTAAGAGATAAATAAATAATAAATAAAACAAAGGCAAAGAAACCTGAAAAGAGTCTTGTATCAAAATTATCAGCATATATGTATAACAATACACTGATAAAATTCTTTACAACTTTTAATGGTCAGTTTTATCAAATCAGGTCAAAAAACATTCTTCCAATTACAGCCACTATTCACCATATTGTTTTTATTTCTTAAATTTCTTATTATGTATAGTGTGGGAGCCCAAAGAAGTGGATCTATCCCCCCTTGACTAAAGGTCAGAAAGCTCAGACCTATTCTTGCTCCTTCAAGGTTATAACAGGAGGTTTGACCTAAGATGTAGCTACTAACAGAATGTTTTGACCTAGGATGTGGTTACTTGATGCTTTGGTTACTTAGAAGGTAATTGCTTTAGTTGTTCCTTGTACCGTGGTAAAGAAGACTCTTGCCTTCCCCCACTCTTTGGATTGGGGTGTATAAAGCCTATGAGAAATAAACGCCAGGTGAATCTCGGGATTTACTGGCTGCCCTCCCAACTCTAGCAATGTCTCTAGTCTCTTAATCCTCATGCTTCCCTCCAAGCACAGACCTGGCAGGACTGATGTTGTTGCCTGGATGTGGGATATGACAAATGGCCCTCAACGTGGGTCATATGGCAGTATATTGCCAGCGGGTACGTCTGTGCCCTACATGTGTGCAGTGTCTGCAGACATCAGAAGAGGGCAAGCTGGGTGGTGGGGGTGCACGCCATTAACCCTAGCACTCAAGAGGCAGAGGCAGGAGGCTCTGAGTTTGAGGCCAGCCTGGTCTACTAAGTGAGTTCTAGGACAACCAAGGCGACACAGAGAAACCCTGTTACCTGTCTCAAAAAAAAAGGAGGAGAAGGAGGAGGAGAAGGAGGAGGAGGAGGAGGAGGAGGAGGAGGAGGAGGAGGAGAAAGAGAAGGAGGAGAAGGAGAAGGAGGAGAAGGAGAAGGAGAAGGAGAAGGAGGAGGAGAAGAAGAAGAAGAAGAAGAAGAAGAAGAAGAAGAAGAAGAAGAAGAAGAAGAAGAAGTCAGATCTTCCTTGGATCCTCCATCGGATGCTCCTCCTTTGGATACTGGGAACTGAACCTGGGTCCTCCAGAAAAGCAGCAAACGCTCTTCCCTGATGAGCTCCAGTTCCACCGTATTTCTTTTTCTGAAATGCTTAACATGTTCAACATCTTGTTCAATCAGTCCCCTAGATTCATGAGTTCAACTAATCACAGATTAATATTTAGAGAGCTGGACAGAGTGGCACACCCCTTTAATCCCTTGGTAAAGGAAACAGGAGTAGGAAACCTCCATGATTTCAGGGCCAGACTGGTCTACTTAGGAAGTTCCAGGCTAGACAGAGCTCTAGTGAGATTGTCTCAATACCTAGGAGTGGGCATTGAACATACACGGGTATTTTCCTCTTCCCCTTTGCCTCTAAACAATACAGCACAGTAGCTATTCATTAACACATAGTATTGGTGTCACATTAGTTATTATGAGTGAAGAAGAAAGAGACTGGGAACTCAATGGGCCCTGGTAGAAACAGCCACCACCAGGCTCAGATCCTAGCTGTATGCAGAGTTCTCGGCAGCGGGAATCAGAATCTCTGCTCGCTAGCATGCAGATTCTGGGGCTCATGTGGCTCCCTGGCTCCTTCCAGAAAACCGAGGTGTGGTGAGTTCACAGCCTCACGTTATTCCTGGTCCAGCTCGAGCCCTAAGAAATGGCCTATTCAGGAGTCACAGAGATGCTTCGTGTCTTGGGGGAGTCAGCTGGAGGAGTTTCAGCCCCAGAACGCTGTGTCTTCCCAGGCACCCTGCAAAAGTTCAGTCAACTGCTCTCCAGACTGGGCAGAGGCCTCAAAGAATGCTTCCAGTGCCAGACCCAACACCAGCCTTCAGCATCTCCCAGGACAAAAGGTCCCATCCCATTTGTGCCATCTTAGCTCCGTCTATTGCATTCAAGACCCAGGATTAAGAATAGGCTTCAGCCCTGATCAGCCACAGAAAAACTGGTCTTCCCTCCCCATTCATTTTCTGTAGGACTCCACACGGTTTGTGGTATGTTGTAAAGAGTGGTTCTCAAAGTGGGACCCCTGGTCTCCTTCTTTTAATGAATGAGGACTTTGGAGTGACCCCAGTGACCCTCGTGTTAGGCAGCCCTCCAGGTGAATCAGCGCTGTGATCCTAGAGGAAGGTTGACTGGAAGAACAGATGAGATTGCAAGGTAAGATTTACAAATGGTGGGGCTGTGGGCGTTATCTCAAGGTGCCTGTCTCTACCTCTTTGTTTCTTTAGTCTCCACACAAGCTGAGTCATTGTCTTCACACAAGCTGTGTCCTAAGGGGGAAAGATCCCTGTGGTGCCAAGTTGGATTTATGGCTCTGTATCTCTCTTGGGCATCTTTCTGCCCAGGGCTAAGGTATCTCTACCCTGCTGTTTGCCTTGTTGTGCAATGTAACCCCCTCCCCCACCCTGTCCTTCAGTGACCCTTCTAGGGGCCAGTCACACACCTGATTACTCAGAAGGCCAACATGAAGACCTATTTCAGACCCTTCCAGTTCTCTCCCCGTCCCCGGACCCCCAACAGGATTCTGTTCCCACTTTTGTCCCCTCCTCCATCCTCTACAAGAAGATAGGAGACCGCCTTCTACAACCTAGACACATCCCTAGGACACAGGGAGAGAGGAGCATGGGGTAGATTTCCTGGATCTTTCATCTACTCCTAGAACTCACTCTGTAGACCAGGCTGTCCTCAAACTCACAGAGTTCTACCTGCCTCTGCCTCGTACTGGGACTAAAGGTGTGTGCCCCCACCATCTGAGCTGTTAAAATAATCTTGGTTCAGGAAATAAAAGGGCTTCCCTGGCAGCCTTAGGGATTTGGGCTTAGAACATACATGTGAAGGTAGGAGTGAGCCAACTCCACAGAGCTGTCCTCTGATCTCACACACACTTACATGTCATGGGTCACTACACACATCATATACACACATGTGCATACACATGCACACACATACACACACGTACACTAAATAATTTTAAATGTCTTACTCTTGAAGTTCTTAAGATGAAGTCTATGCCAGGCAGTGGTGGCACACGCCTTTAATCCCAGCACTCAGGAGGCAGAGGTAGGCGGATCTCTGTAAGTTCGAGGCCAGCCTGGTCTATGAGAGCTAGTGCCAGGATAAACTATAAAGCTACACAGAGAAACCCTGTCTCAAAAAAAAAAAAAGTCTATTTAGAACCGGGTCACAGACCAAAGGATGGAAATAGCCCATTTTCACCCTCATTGAAACACTTGGAGGACCTTCATCCTTAAGTTCTGTTTTTAATTTAATTTTATTTTTATATCCTCTCTCTCTCTCTCTCTCTCTCTCTCTCTCTCTCTCTGTGTGTGTGTGTGGTGTGTGTGTGTGTGTGTGTGTGTGAACTGTCTGGTCAGAAGCATCTTTTGGGGGTCATTTCTTTCCATTCATTATTATGGGTCACCAGGTTTGGGGGCTGAGCCTTCACAGGGCCCATCTTCAGATGCTTTTGTTGAGTGGAATTTATGGCATCTGGGCGCGGAGTCAAGACCACGTCCCCAACCCTGTTCTTAAATTCCAGTAGGTTAGAAGGGGGATAAAGAAGAAGAGCTCTCTTGCTGATACCCACTCCCTGAGACCAAGGAGAGATTGTTTAAACCAAGAAAGGAAGATTACTGGTTAAATCCTGGGATTAAAATGGATAAACTGGAACCCTTAGTTCCAGGTGAGTGGCCACCCATTAGATGACACAGCTGCTCACGTCTCCAGGGGAAGCCACAATGTCCCCAGTATCAGGAGGGGTCACGTGCTCTGCCTTTCAAAACTGTGTAAGTCACTAGGGCCAAGCACCCTATCAGGCCAAGCGCCCCAGCCAGACCAGTACCCCTCCTAGACAGGTACCCACAAAGCCAAGTATCACACTGGAAGCCAGTTTTGGGGGACAGGCACCCCACCAGCCACACATCCATGTGCCTTGGATGAGGGCTCAGTTAATTAGCACGAGCTGCCTCTGACTCACCCAAACTACTGCCGTTTTTTTTTTTTTTCCCTAACCCTCACATTCAGTATTTATAAAAAAAAATTAAAAATCCAATGTGTGATTCTAAAACCAAGGGATGGGCCACACCGGCTACTGTGCGAGTCTCCCTTTAGCCGAGTAAAAAGGAAAACGTTGGTTTTGTGCTTTCCCCTTTAAAACAGAATAATAAGTACAGTAGAAAAATACATGAAAAATTATAAATCAGAACTGTTTACTGCCTGTGTCCTCTCTTTCTCCGGTGGTGGAACAGTCAAAAGCTTTTTTTTTTTTTTTTTTCTTTTTTGGTCTGGACTGAGCCCCAGTGGCTGAGAGGCCCTGTAACTTTAAACCTGGCCTGAGGTCATCTTGTGATGCTGGCCAAACAGAGTCCGGGGGCGGTCCTAGATCTCTGGGCTGGGACCACCTGACGCCCACCCGCTCCCGCCCCGGGTTGAAGACATAAATGCTGTCTGCGCCGAGAAGTTGCCCGCTGCCAAGTTTGCTGTTCCTGCTGCTGCCGCGAGCCAAGGAAGCCCGGGCACTCTCCGGGACTTTTGCTCACCGCCTTCCAGTCTCCTGCAGAGTTCTTCCCGGCTGGGCCTGTAGTTGCGAAGCTTTTTTTCCGTCTTTTCACAACCACAAAAACCGCTAGCTGCTGAGGCTCCAAAGAGATCAAGATGTGGACGGCGCCAATGTTGTTTTGGGTTTTGGGGAGCGCGTGGTGCTGGCACTTTGCGCAGGGAGGTAAGTGTCCCGGCCTGAGTGCCTGAGTGGCTACCAACACTTGCTGGGGGTGGGGGGCGGATGAAGGGAGGCGGGGGTTGCCTGGGATCAGAGAGTGCCCGGGAGAAAGCTGGGGCAACTTAGTTGGGGCCAAGTCCCCAGGAACAGTCAGTGGGTGCGGAAGTAGTCCGGATCCACAGGTGGTAGGGGTGCGGAATGTCTCCCGCCTCCCGGGGGCGCGGGGTGGGGGAGGACTAATGTCGTGGAGCGGGAGGGTGATGCCAAGGGAGACTGTACTGGTCCAAAGAGCGGGGTATTAGAGGAATAGTTAATGTCTCTGGAAGAGAGGAATAGGCGGAAGGACAGGTTGGAACCAGGGGTCCCATCCTTGGGGACGGACCTGATGGATGGTAGCCCGGGTGGGAGGCGAAACAACTCGGAGTAGAGGAGGGGAACCGAAGGCCGCTGTCTTTCGAGCAGCCTTGTCTCTGCCTCCTTCCTCTGTTGACTCCAGCGCTGGGAATGGATGGAACCCAGGGCGTCCAGCATCTAAAGCTGTACCTCCTAACCTGGAGCATCGCCGTGAGCATTGAGGAGTAAGTGTGGTTGAGGCCAAGGACTCAGTGGCGTTTGTAAAAGACCAAAGGAGCTTAAATGCGCTCAGTTGGCAAAGTCCTTGCCTTGCAGGCCTGATGCTCTGGGTTCCATCCCCAGCAAGGTGCAAAAACCAGCGTAGCGATGTTCACCTGTTGATCTCAGCGTTGGGGAAACAGGCGTTTTCAGGGTCATCCTGGGGGCTACGCAGCGAGTTTGAAAGCAGCCTGGGCTTCAGGAGAGAACTTACCCTGCTTTATTTCTTGCCTTGCGTTACTAGTTGTGTCTGTTTCCCTGGGGATTCTAAGCTCTAACTTTGATCCCAAACATCACCTGCTCCTCAGCGAGCTAGAGATGGAGCCCTGTCCTTCCCGGGAGGGAAGGAAGTGGTCTGTGTGAGCCGGGTGAGCCTAGCCTCGGCTTCTGTAATTCTCCACAGACAACACCTACCTAGTCTTGGGGAAATTATACAGCAGGCTGCTTCAAAGAGGCGAAGCTGCTCTTTATGGCACTCCGGGCTATTCCTGGCAGGCCTATCTTTGAAACTTCTCCTTGCGCTAGGATGATATATACAGTTCTGTATTTCAGTTCTATTTCTGGTCTGGCGAGACAATGTGTGTAAATGACATGGCGTTTCACTCGCCCCAACCACATCCGAGGAAAGCCAGAGACTGGCTAGCATCCTCTTAGGCAAGGGTAGGCTGCCACTCTCGGAAGCCAGTTCCCAAGGTGCTCCTAAAATGTAGCTGCTGTTCGGTCTTGTCTAGAGTCTTCGTTGTGGCTATATTAGAAACTGTACAACTGAAGAAAGAGGCCTGGAAAAGAAAGGGGTGGCCATGTGGCCAGTGCTATGCAGGCTGTTCTGCTGCAAGATTGAAGCCTATAGGGGTTTTGTCTGGGAATAATGAATATGGATGAGCAACACCATTGAGCTGAGGTATTATTGGGGAGCCAGACTGGAGGTGATTGTGGTGTGCTAACTCAATTGTGGTCATGTGCCATGATTTAGTATTAGAATCCAACCCCCTTTGCCATCTCTAAAGTCTTCGTGGATTCTAAAGAGGACTGTTGTCCACACATCTGGCATCTTCCTCCATTGCCAGGCCCCACCCTCGCTCTGAACATTCATCCAAAGCCTGTACCCAAGGGCCTGTCCGTTAGGCAATTAATTGTTGTAAGATTCTGAAAGTCGCTGCTTGCTGCTAAGCCATGTGTGCTCTTCCGGGACCAGTCCAAACAGGATTAATCATGTGGCAAAGAAATCATCCTGTGATTTCCCTGAAGTTCTTGCCAGTTTGGGGGAGGTGGGGAGCTGGAATCCTCGTGGGTTGCTGAGGGTTTTTGGTGCAGAGACGTTGAAGAAAGCTCCTTCTCTTAAAGATTCTGTGAGGGAAGCTTGGGCTATGGTTCCAAACTGAGTTCAGAAAGAAAAAGCACATTTGAAGCTCCGTGTTCGGCCCCAGAAGGCTGAGTGTCCCCGTAACCAACAGTACCCAACTCAGTTCCCCACTTACTGACTCAGTGCTGGCACAGACAGAGACCCAAATCTGGGCATGAGTGAGGGTGGCCCTGCCTAGTGGGCAGGGTACCACTTCGTTGCGTTCCCATCCCCCACCACATTCTAGGAATGTCACCAGACTACCTCGTTTAATCCCCGACAACTCCTGTAAATTATACACTATTATCTCAGAAGCTGCCAGAACAAAGATTCAAAAGCAAAGTCAAACTCCTCACTACTCCTGAACTAAAAAAAGAATTAAAAAAAAAAGAGACAGTTGAACTTGACACCAAGGGTGGACTTCACTTTCAGTCCCTTAAACATGAATACAAACTTTCCTAGACTTCTTTCAGTTATGTGCTCCCCACACTGTAATCGGTGCATCAAAATAGATTGCCTTAATCCATCCTGCTCACAGGTGCTAAATACCTCCCAAGAGGGTGCGGCAGGTTGCTGGGTGCAGGAAAGCCGAACGTGTGCTCCGCCGTCCTCGCCAACCAAGAATGAACCTGTGCTCCAGATTGCACTGGCTTATCTGAATTTTTGTCATAGTTCTGGCTTTTGAGAACAGGCATTCCAGGTTACTACTTGTGGAAGTATTTCGGGGGAGGCTCCGAAGGGAGCCAACTCAATGCCAGTCTTTCCTGGAACCCCACAGAGGATCCCCAGCCCAACCTCCCAGCGCTCAGGGAAACCCTGCTTATCCTGAAACCTCTCACTCAGGAAAGAAACCGATGTGGTTTTGTTAGAGGAGGGTCCATGACTGGAGAGGTTGAGACACTCTCAAAGCTGATGAGGTTGCTCACAGAATTCTCGCGGGGTACACAACAGATTAAGCTCCCTTTGTCTGCAATTCTGAGTACTTTGTCAATAGATGTCTTGAAATGTGTATGTGTGTGTGTGTGTGTGTAGGCCAAATCTTCCTCAATGACTCCGCACCCTATTTTAGAGACACTGTCTCATTGAACCTGGGGTTCTCCCATTGCTAGACTGAACAATGGCCCTCGGGAATCTGGGTGCCTCTACCTCCTCAGTGTTGTGGTAACAGATGCACCCTGCTTTTTGTGTGAGTCTGGGGGTTGGAACTCAGATCCTCATGTTCACGTGGGGAATACTTACTAAATGAGCCATCTCTCCATCCCCTGGAAAGTTCTGGGAAAGGAAAGTGGTCAGGCTTTTCATCCAAGCTCGAATGCAGGATAGAGCCAGGTTGGGAAACAACTGGCATTCTGCCAAGTTCATGCAGGGCAGGAAATGGAGGTGTCTGTTTCCTCCCACGTGGCTAACCACAGCGCCTGGCTGTCCGTCATCCCAGCCCATTCATGGCCAGCCAGGTGATGGGAAACTCTTGAACATTAACGGAAAGAGTAGAGCAAGGCTAGAGAGATAGAGAGACAGCTGGACGGATAAAATGCTTGCTGTGCCAACAAGAGAGCCTTAGTTTGGTTCTCAGAACCATTTTAAAAAGCTGGGCGGTAGCAGGGATTTGTAATCTCGGTGCTAGGAATGCAGAGTCAGCCACATCCCCCAGGCTCTCTGGCCAACCAGTCTAGCCCAATCCACAAACTCCAGGCCAGGGAGACACCCTGCCTCAAAAAATAAGATACCTAGAGACTAATACCTGAGGTTATCCCTTGACTACAAACACACGCACGTACGCACGCGCACGCACGCACGCGCACGCACGCACATATACCGGTACGTCTGTGTTTATACCTGGTCTCATGTCTTTGTCTCAGAGAACGGTTTGTATTTGGAGGTGAATCTGGTTAAGTTCAGAGGGAGACTTTTGACCTTGGCCAGCTGATCACTTCCTTGGAGAAACAGAAGACAAACATTGTAGACACAAGGCAAAATGGATGCAGTTTCAAAAACAAAAAACATATGCAAAGGATGAAGATGAGCTTGTGATTTCTGTCCAGAGGGTCAGAAACTGGAGAAATGCCTGGAGAGGTATGGGCAGGTCAACCTGCGCCACAGCGGGGCTCTGAGAGCGTCTGTTAAATTGGCAGGGTACAGGGGAATGCCAGTAGTTTGGAGTACAGTTGGAGGCCTGGGAAGCAGGGGTGCAAAATGTGTGAACAATACTGAGGGAGCAGGGTATTTCCCAGAGGCCATCATTGTATTTTCACCAAGGGGAATAAAAGACAGCAAACAAACAAGGCTATAAAGCAGAGGGGAGTGCCCCACCCGAGAGAGAAAGGAATTAGTTTGCTTGGGTTCTCTGGAAAGGGAGAGAGGGAGAGAGAGGCAACCGCCCTGCCCAAGGAATTTGCTTATTTGGCAGATACTTACCGGGTCCTTGCTATGTGTTCAGGCTTTGGAGCGTGGTGTTATCCTGCTTTGAGCTCCTAAGGGGAGGTCTGATCTGGCAGCTTTGGGGAGTCTGACCTCAGTTAGGGTGGGTCCTTGAGCATCAGAGATCTTTATTCCCTTAATCTGGCAAAACATTCCATCCAGTGCTTTTGTTCTACAGAAGATCAAACATCTCCGGAACCTTTGTCACTTGAGAGGGGCATGACATCAGTAGCAACTACATACGTAAAGTGCAGAAGAACAAGTCTTATTTGTGCGTGTGTGCGCATGCGCAGTTGTGGAGGCTGGAGGAAAAATCTCTATCTTGTCATCCTTTTTAAAAAATTTTATTTTGGGCTGGAGAGATGGCTCAGAGGTTAAGAGCATTGCCTGCTCTTCCAAAGGTCCTGAGTTCAATTCCCAGCAACCACATGGTGGCTCACAACCATCTGTAATGGGATCTTGTGCCCTCTTCTGGCCTGCAGGCATATACACAGACAGAATATTGTATACATAATGAATAAATAAATATTTAAAAAAAAAATTTATTTTAAGATTTATTTTTATTTTTAAAAATTGTGTGAATGCATATATGTCTGTGTGGGGGTATGCGCACCTGAGTGCAGGTGCCCAC